TTTATGTTATTATTATTATTTTTTTTAAAACATTATATATAATATATTAATTATAATTATTAATTATGTTATGTTTTTCACTATTGATGTTTTTGAGTTTCACCCCTTCATTGCTGAGCACAAATTTGTAGAGAATTTTTGTGTTTTTGTCAATTTCCTGTTCATTCCTATGGTCGGTCATTTTTGACTGAAGAGCACAAGTGTGACACATTTTTGTACGACCACTTAGCCTGCTCGAATCATGCCTTACATTTTTTGGTGTGTTCACATACCTAATGCCATAAAAGTCACCAAGTTTCGTAACATTCTGATTAAGCTGTGATTTTTTAAAATTCAAAACAGTTTTTTTTAAAATCACAATTTATTGGTGTGTATGTGTATAAAAGTGTGTGTGTGTGGGTGGGTGGGTGTGTCTGGTTTGCACTCTTGATGTTTTAGAGTGTCACCCCTTCATTGTTGAGCACTTTTTTTCTGAACCGTGGCCAATTTGTAGATTGTACACACAATTTTTTTTTGTCAAATTCCCATTCATTTCCTATGGTCGGTCATTTTTGACCGAAGAGCACAAAAGGCACTATTTTTTTTACAACCACTTAGCTTGCTCGGATCATGACCTCAATTTTTTCGTGTGTTCACATACCTAATGCCATAAAAGTTACCAAGTTTTGTAACATTCCGATGAAGCTGTAATTTTTAGAAATTCAAAACAGAACATTTTTCGGTCAGAAATGACTGAAGAGCACCTGATTAAGAATTGGGCCTTTATCAGCTGAAACCCCACTTTGCCCATTTACAAACTAAAAATCTGTATTTGATTCCAAGCTAAATTTTCCATGTGGTGCCGAATTTACAGTGCCATTGTTAAATAATTATGGCACTGATTTAATATTTTTAGACAACTGTAATGAATATTTAACAAAAAAGTTCTGTTAGACTTTCAATTACTGATTATAACAAGGATTTTGGATACTTAAGATGTTTTCATTTTTCCCCTCTGACCTGAACTGATTCAGAGACTGACTGATTGATTGATTGATTGATTGATTGATTGATTGATTGATTGATTCGTTAAATTCCTAACAAGTTTCCAAACTCCCAAACCCTGCATTCAAGGAAAAGTAGGTTCAGAGAGAAGAAGATTCGGAAACAGGAAAGAGGACGTATTCGTAACAAGAATGCGTATTGGACATTGTTTATTAAATCAATGCTTACAAAGAATTGGTAAACATGAGAATGGAAATTGTGATAAATGTTGGTTAGCTGAAACTGTAGTAGAATGCGAAGCTTATGAAAGAGAGCAGTTCCAGCTAAAACACGCTTTAAGAAACACAGAAATCAATGAGCTGACACTTCAGGTTCTCCTAGGAGAAGGTACTAAACAATCAAGAATTTATCATGAGTTATTTATATTTTTAAAGGAAACAGGATTATATAATAGGATGTAAAAATCCCTTCTATGTGAACTCTTATATATAATTTTATTTATTTATTTATTTATTTTGAAAGAGTAGATTTAGTCTAAACTTCCTTTACAATATGCGCTTCACACTCCATTTCAGTAGGTGGCGGGAATGCACCTTTTAAGTTGGTTTGCCAACCGCCATTAAATCCTAGAAGAAGAAGAAGAAACTCCCAAACCGTTTCGGAGTCCAGGTAGCATGCACCTGTGTGGTGTGACGCCATCAAACGGTGCCGCTAGAACACAGCAGGATTTTGAATTGACAGATTCTTTCAGATCGCGTCTTTGATAATTCACACTACGTGATTGTCACTCACGTGAACGAGCACCGATTTCCATATGATTTCATGCTTTTGTCTGCTATCTGACAAAACCTGTCGGCGAGCGAAAATCAGGCCTAAAATCGTTCAGTGTGAACTCGGCATAATAAATATACTTTGGCTACAAACGATACAATGAACGAAACTAAAGGCGGGGATACACTGTGCGATTTTCGTCCGATTTTGAGCCGAATTCTGACTCGTGCGACTCTTTTTCGGGTCGGGCCGATTTTCTGCTTTGTGCGCCGTTTGTCGTGCAGTGTTCGTGAAGTGTACAGGGGGAAACGAGAGGCGATTAACCTCTTGGCAGGCAATCGGATGGTCGGATGAATTTCTGGCATGTCAGAAGTTTTGGTCGCTCCTCGTGACTATATCGTACAGTTGAAGCAGAGCTACGAACCGATTGCCCTTAAAGGGATACTTCAGGATGTAGCATTAAGCTTTGTATCAGTAGAAAACCAGTATTTTCGAATTACCATGCTAATTCGAATACCATACCATCAAAAATAATTTCACATTTCTACTATATAAATGACCAATATTAAATACACATTCATCTTTCCAGAGGTGAAGTATCCCTTTAAAGGATTAGCAAAATGAAAATTTCCAAATAATTTACTCACCTCAATGCCATCCAAGATATCCATGTCTTTCTTTCCTCAGTGGAAGAGAAAATAATTTTTTTGAGGAAAACATTTCTGGATTTTTCTTTGGACTATGGACCTAAAATTGCAACCAACGTTTTGAAGTCCAAATCAATGCAGTTTCAAAGGTCTTTGACGTGCTTTAAAGGTCCCGTTCTTCATGTTTTTTTGAAGCTTTGATTGTGTTTACAGTGTGCAATATAACATGTGTTCATGTTTCGCGTGTAAAAAAACACAGTTTTTTTCACACAATTTACTTATCTGTATACTGCTGTTTTCACTGTCCAAAAAACGGCCTGATGACTTCCTTGTTCTATGAAGTCCCTCCTTCAGAAATACATAACATTGTGCCAGCGGTTCCTGTGTTGTGATGCGACAGCAGCTTATCGCACGTTGCCCGGAAAGGTCACGCCTCTTACCATAAACTGGAGATGCATGCGCAGCTGAAAGTGCTTCTTCTCCGTGGGAGCGCAACAAGACCACGCCCCCTTTTTTGTGTATTCCTGTGGGCGGAGATTAGTCAAAAAACTGTTCTACGTCATTAAAAAAGGAGGTAGAGGGATGTAGTCCAATCCGGCCGTTCGCTGTATGCTTTGAAAGGAGACTTCTGTTAAATAAAATATCTCGCTAGGCATTGAACTTTGAGCTTTATAATTTTACAGGTATTATTTATGCTCTAACAGCAACATTACACACTAATTAAAGTTTGAAAAATGGAATCGCGAAGAACGGGACCTTTAAGCGGCTGTGCACGATCGCAGCTGAGGAAGAGGGTCTTATCTAGCGATGGATATCATTAAAAAAATTATATTAGGGCTGTCAGTTAAACGCGTTAACGACGTTAACGCAAACCCATTTTAACGCGATTGGCCTAGCAAACACAATTGCGCAGTGGCGCGCATACTATGTGGTCAAAATTCAAAATAGTTCAACTTTTGCCGCTGTGACGATTACCAGCGCGGCCAATAGAAACTTTTTGGCATCCAAAAAGTTTTGAAAACTGGCGTAGCGCCGCGCATTACGCGTCCTGTCTGAAAGCACCGGATCTAGCTAGACCGGAAACATTGTTGCGAGCATCGATGTTGCCGGCGTAGGTACCGCAACTGTTTACAAAGCGACCGTGCGAAGGAGGATAGTTCAAATTGTATTGTATGTTGAATGACATTTATGTCTTTGTGTCATATTATTGTTTAAAATGGTCCTTACGTGTGCGTATCCTGGGTGTTTAAATCTCATCGAGCGTGACCTTTCAAAGTGATGACGTAGTTCCCGGCGCTTAGCAGATCAGCTCAATCCGAACAATTGTAGTTAAAAAGTGTATTATATATATATTTATATATATATATATATATATATATATATATATATTGAAAATTACCTATCGTTTCGCTATATAAGACCCTCTTCCTCAGCTGCAATCGTGCACAGCCGGTTAAAGCACTTCAAAGACCTTTAAAACTGCATTGATTTGGACTTCAAAACGTTGGTTGCAATTAAAGTCCATTATTCGAAGAAAAATCCAGAAATGTTTACCTCAAACTTATTTTCTCTTCCACTGAGGAAAGAAATACATGGATATCTTGGATGGCATTGGGGTGAGTAAATTATTAGGAAATTTTCATTTTGAGGTGAGCTATCCTTTATCTCAGTGTTTTTTCCCTCACTGAGCCTGCGCGAAAACAGAAGTTTAACCTTTTCATCTTTAATGCAGCGAGAAAGAAAACGAAAAGAGGGAGATCTGTAGACATCAAACTTGTCGTGTTGGGTTCTTAAGATGTTGAGAATAAAGATCGCAGCAGGGTACACAGCAACATAGAGTCGGCCCAGATCCGGCCCACATCTGGGCCTTTTGGAATCCACGTGCACCAGATGTGGGCCGGATTTGGGCTGACACTATGTTGCTGTCTGGGTAGATTCATATCACTTATTCACTTCTCTCTAGTCACACCACCTTGTGATTCCCCTCTACTGCTCACTGGTACCCAGGCAACGTAATAGATCACACCACAAAACTAGCTACAAATTACTGTTGCTTACCTGCAGTTCGTGTTGCAAAATGGATAAACCATATTACCCACGTCTTCCAAGCCACCTGCGATGTAGCTATACCGTGCCTCTTTTGTGAATGCTCACAAATTTTTGAAATAGCCTTGCTGTTTGCATTTTCATTGATGACTGATTAACTACAGTAATATCGCACAGACAGCACAGTGAGAGAAAATCTGACAAAAGTTATTTTTAAATAACCGGCAGGACACCTGTTATTAACACCTGCTATTTCGTTCCAAAAATGTGTAATGATACCATGATTTTTTTTTTTTTTTGCTGTAAACTTTTAGAATTCATGCGCTGCAATGGAGGAAGAGATCTGCCCATCGCTGACTGAATGCGTACGCGTCCCGATGATGCTGGGTCTGATATTCTAGCAGTTTTGTCAAACGAGATTTCATATTTAAAACACGTAATTTTACTTCGTCGATTGCAGTTACGTTATGCTTTGGACAAGACCACAACTCTGTTTTACACACCACAATGAAAAGAATCAGCATGTAAGCCAGTGAATCTCTCTGTATGCAGGGAACTCAAGACCAAAATACTGAAAGAGGATACAAAGAGAGAGCTGCTGGAATATCAGCCTAAACTCAGTGATTCCCTCTGCATCCGCTGTCTGCAGCCCTTCAAATTCCTTGTCAACAGCAAGCGCCAGTGTCTGGACTGCAAACTATTTGTCTGCAAGTCCTGCAGCCGTTTTAACAAGAAGGACCGCGGTTGGGTGTGTGATCCATGCCATATGTCCAGGTGAGCACCTGACAGACACATGCCTGTGATTTCTGATTTGTATCCTTATATCAACGGAGCAATACACAGGACATAAAACACAATCATTACGAATACGTAAAAAAAATAACATTATGTAAATTGTCACATTCAATAGTGGGACAATTTATGTAAGAATGGGTTTTTAAACAATTCTGCTTCATGAATAAGGCCCACGTTATACTGTTTTACATATTGTTTGAATGCTTTAATTGATGACTCATCTTCACCAGTTCTGCTTGCACTTAACTAAACCACAACCATAAAAAAGTTCACTTCCTGTAAATAAACTTTATTTAAAAAAACAAAAAGACCTTTCTGCATTTTTCACTTATGCTGTGTATGTACTACTCTAGCGAACTCTATTGAAACAAATGTGGAGTTGTGAATATTGTTGGTGGGTTAACAACATTCTTTAGTCTTACATTAACACTATTAGTTTTTATTGCTTAAAGGTGGGGTATGTGATTTTGTTTTTTGACCATTTTTTCAAAATCACTTGAAATCCTATTCCTAACCCACTTACAGCCACTGAAGCACTGAAATGAAAATTAAGCAATTTAATCATCTGTGGAACGGGCAGGACTCGAAAAACTCCAGCCAATCATTTCCAAGACCTCCTAGAATCATTGGACAGCAAGTGCGTCAATCAAACGTCGTACCATACCCCCCTCCCCCTCGCGCACGTGTCCCCTTCGTGCGCATACTCAAAGCTCGTGACCCAGTCAAAGTAAGTGCAAGTTGCCCCGGTATAGAGAGAGAGAGAGTAAGTGTAATCTCGCACATCTGAGTTTTGCAGATGCATGATTGCGCGTCCATGTCCTTCGAATGGGTGGAGTCAGGGCCAGTGTTGGAGGAAAGAAGGTAGGGCCTTTTGAGTTGTGTATTTTCAAAATCTGCCGGCCGTTTTTCAAATCCCATACCCTACCTTTAAGTAAATTATGTTGTATGGAGAAGAAACAGAAGAAAGTAGAAATTCCATCCCAATACTGGTGGTAGATCCAGCCTATGAAATGACTATTTTTGAATGATCACACTCTCGTGGCGCAGTAACTATTTTACATTATGGTGAATTGGTCGAATTTTGGTAAATATGATCTCATTTGTTCTTTTTCGTACAATCCTCTTATACCCCGACGGTTAGGTTTAGTGGTTGACCTTTATGCTTATGTTTGTTTTCTAAAAAATCGTACGTTTCAATACAAATTACATCATACAAATTAATATGAAATCACCACCTCTTAAAATACTTGTTTTCTTAGAGATCGGGTTGGATTGACTGAATAAATTAGTTTTTTATTGTTTTTTTATCTTTGTTCCTACAGAATCCTTAAGATTGGAACTCTGGAATGGTTCCATGAGAATGTACGCTCTCGCTTCAAGCGTTTTGGCAGTGCAAAGGTCATGAATTCACTTTTCAAGAGGCTGAACAGCGACCGTGCCTGCTCTCAAACTGACCTCAGAGGTAGCCTGTTTTAGGTCATTCCATGAGACTCGAAACCCCATTATATACTGACCTTAAAAGTGGAATCATGCACATCGATCAATCTTGATCATCACATATGGACTTAAATCTTTAGTTTAATGAACAAGAATTTGCTAATTTTTATATACTTATATATGCTAGGGATCCGTTTTTGTTTCACAGAGCTTGGACTATCCTGAGCTGAGATATAGAAGTTTCCATAAACATCCGTAAAACCCAAAATTTGTTGTGGTCCATGACACAAAGATGGTCCCATGTGGTTAAACCAAGTAAAAAGAAAAAAAGGTGGTTTTCCAATACCAATACATAGTAGACGTAATCACTCCCAAAAAAAAATCACATTAAATGAAAAATGGACTGGAAATGGATTGACCCGCAACTTTATCCTCTCATTGTAAATTGCATCTTGTAGGACCCTGTTCCAACCACTCAGGTTAGCATGCTGCATTCTATTTATTTCTACTGATTGAATTCTAATAGAAAAACTATCAGTTTAGAAAGTCAATTAGTTATTACAAAATGAGATTTGATTCTTACTGTGTCATCTGTTAATGGAAAACAATTTTTGAAGCAATGTCTGACAGATGACTTACAGCAGGAACACTGAAGGCAGAGCTTAGAGGAGAGAGGCCCTCATAACTTTGAGGGATTTAGTGAGAGAGAGAGAGAGAGAGAGAGAGAGAGAGAGAGAGAGAGAGAGAGAGAGAGAGAGAGAGAGAGAGAGAGAGAGAGAGAGAGAGAGAGAGAGAGAGAGAGAGAGAGAGAGAGAGAGAGAGAGAGAGAGAGAGAGAATTGGCTCTGCCGAATCATCCATGTGATTTACTTTACACAGTCACATGTCTTTTTCTCAGTGCCTGGACTCGAGTGTCTCTCTTTTATCCAATTTTCAAGGTCTATCTGTCCTGAATACAGAGCTCAATGAGAGAACATTGCTGTTTGGGTGAAATGAGTTCAACAATGTTCCATACAAATCTTACAAAAAGATGTTCTAATTACATAATGTACATAATATTTAAGGGTGGGTCACACTGGTGAATAAATGCAGACAAACACCAACACTATAATTGCTGTTTGAATTGAAATGTAGGCTAAATGTTTTTCTTCTCACTACCCCAAAAAACAACAACATGGTTAACATACCGATCCAGCAAAATCCCAATAGCCATTGATATTTGGTGTTTGGTAACTAGTGTAGTGTGGCAGTGTGAACTAGCGTAAGTTGAAGCCACTATTTAATTCCTGTTTTGCTGTTTTGCTTTCTGTAACCAATTACAGCTCATTTTCTTTCTCTTGTCTCTCTAACCCCACACCCCCATCACATAGAGCCTCGAGACGATGACACGCACAGCATGCCTGAAGTTCACAGTGAGTTTAAAAAAAAATCCTCTTTCTTTGTGATATAAACATTATGAAGTTGAACGCTGATGTCATGCAAAAATCTAAAGTAATCAGTGAATGTCTTTCATCTGTCCAAACAATGCAGCAGCCATCTGCTCTCACATTATCTTTGATTTAATAAGGCAGGGAACATGGAGAAAAAAAAGTTTGGAAGAAAAACACCTTACATAGCCATGAAAAGAACTGAACACAGAAGCACTGGCTCTTTTACAGGAATTAACAATTCACATATTTTATGCTGTCCAGGACAAACCAGTTGTTCAGATTTGTAAATATTGTGAATATGTTCTCTGGTGCCACCACACACAAATTATGCTTTTTAGCAAGATAGTTTTATATATATCAGGGGGAGAAAAAAATTATTTTTCATTAAATGTCACATTTTCTTTAACAGAAAAAAATATATACAATACAATTTAAAATAAATGTATTATGTTTTAAAATAATAGCTGTAAACAATAGTTTTGTGAGCCCATGACTATATGACATTTTAAACTAATTTTTAATTTCAGGAAAAAATGCCATTTTTTTCATTTATAATTTACAACCCATTCTAAATGATGCATCTAGGATTTACTTCGTCATTCTCAGTAATATAGGTAAATCTCCTCAGTGTTATCCAGCAATATAACAGTAGGCCTACCTGAAAACATATTAAATAATTCCCTAATTCTTCTCTATCAGAGGGTACTTCTCTATCTGACAACTTATATTTTTGGAGCTATAAAAGAGAAAACCGTTTAAGAAAGACAATTGTCATAATTTTTATAAAAGTCATAAAAGTGTTTAAAACCTACACAAAATGAAAAACATAAGTTTGAATATATTAGTTAAATTGTGTTTGAACATAGTGTTTCTTGTCGATATCAAAGGATTCATATTTATTACTCTTGTCATCCACACAGCTGGCTCTCTGTTTAACCAGGAAGATGAGCAATCTGAGAGGGCTGACAGACGCCACTTCAGCCTGGTACTGTACCATCCCTTAAACATCAGAAACTGATGTTATTAGAGCACAGGGAAAACCAGAGTTTTCAGCACGCCGTTTCAGTGCATATGCCTTTAAATGATAATGAGCTTTGCTCACCCCGCCTCTCTGTTCTGTGCGTACACCATTTGTAACACAATAACACAATAACCATAATGCGTTGTTCATTATAAACGTGGGATTATGAATTATATTGAGAACGTTGTAGAAAACATGCCGTAATGTACCCTGAGTGTAAACCTTAGCCGCATTCATCGTGAACCGTGCAGCTAGCGATTTGCAAAGATAAATATAAATATTAATATAAAGGTTAATAAAACGCTACACTCACTTCAGTTCTTCTGGAGCAGCTGCAGGAACACGAATAGTTGGTACCGATCCTTTTTTCAGGAGCAGCTTCTTAGCAAAACCAGCTTTATACTGACCCTTGTTTATAAAGCAGTCTGGTGAGAAATGATTCGCACAAACATGAAAGCATTGACGTTGCTCGTGGGGAATATTTCCTTCGAAAACAAACTCAGCCACTGCGTCTTCAGCGGTTTGGATTTAGGAACATTAAAATGACTGCTGTGTTCCTTATTGCACCCAAGAATAGAATAGAACGAATCGGTTACCTAACGTAACCTCGGTTCTCTCTAGAAGAGGGAACGAGTATTGCGTAAGCTAGCTTACGCTGCGGGAAAGATTCATCTTTGCTGAGAGTTTGAAGCCAAAAAATTATTTCATAATTTGTATCCATTGACAACGCAGTTCCTCTGCGGCAGACCTAGAGCAGGCTAGCTAGCAGCTCATTGGTTCGCTCAGAGAGAACTGCTTAAGCCTATGGGAGAGCGGGGCTGAACCCGCTTCCAATGAGAGGCGCCCGCGCGCTCATTGCGTCATGGCCCGCCAGAATGGGCGTGGCTATGGTGTATATAACAGTCTCTCCCAGGCTTATATGTTGATTTATTTCAGCGTGAAGCGAAACGCTAGTAGCGCAAGCACGGCCGGGAACGCAATACTCGTTCCCTCTTCTAGAGAGAACCGAGGTTACGTTAGGTAACCGATTCGTTCTCTTACGAGAGGTTCTCTCGTATTGCGTAAGCTAGCTTACGCTGCGGGAACACCTGGTCAACGCCGTGCGCGCTATGAATCCACTCATGAATCCCAGGGTGATACCGGGGGATTTTTAACGTGGAGTGAATGTAGTATGAGGCCGGCAGAGCGGGCACATGAAGTGTATACATAAGCATGTATGAGGCCGGCGGAGCGGGCACATGAAGTGTATAAGCATTTAAGGAGAGCACAAGGGGCGAACCGGTTGTGTGAGGGACTCCCAGTAATGCAGCTTCTTAGGAGCTGGTCGTTAGACAGCTAGTAATTTTGCCTGCAAGGCGGGAACTTCCAAGTTGTAAAATCTGACAAAAGTGGACGGGGAGGCCCATCCCGCGGCCACACAAATGTCATGAATGGAAATTCCACAGGACCATGCCCACGATGAGGCCATGCCTCTAGTGGAGTGCGCCCTGATGCCCAGAGGGCAGGGCAGGCATTTAGATGCGTAAGCAGAGGCGATAGCGTCTACTATCCATCTAGACAGTGTCTGTTTAGAGGCGGCCAGACCTTTGGTGCGCCCCCCAAACGACACGAAAAGCTGCTCAGCGCGTCTGAACGCGGCAGCGCGCGTAGTGTACAATCTCAGAGCCCGCACTGGGCAGAGGAGATTGGCATCGCGCTCACTATCGGATGAAGGCAGAGCCGATAGGGAAATAATCTGAGCCCTGAACGGGATACCAATCGCCTTCGGGACATAGCCATGTCTAGGTTTGAGAATGACAACAGAATCATTCGGTCCAAACTCAAGACACGCGGCGCTGGATGAGAGCGCGTGAAGATCCCCCACGCGTTTTACTGAGGACAGAGCCGTCAGAAAAACGGTTTTGAACGAGAGGTATTTAGCTCCACAGACTCGAGCGGTTCGAACGGGGGTGCTTTCATTGCTTCGAGAACTATAGAAAGATCCCAGATAGGAACCGAAGGGGGGCGCGGAGGGTTCATCCTCTTAGCTCCCCTGAGGAAGCGGATGACTAACTCGTCTTTGCCCAGGGACTGAGCGCGTCGGGGTTCAGAGAACGCCGCGACGGCTGCCACGTAAACCTTGAGAGTGGAGGGGGACCTGCCCTTGTCCAGCATCTCTTGAAGGAAAACAAGCAAAGACGGCACCTCGCATGACCGTGGGTCCAGATGTTTGTCTGTGCACCATTTTGAGAACACAGACCATTTAGACGCATAGAGCCTTCTCGTGGAAGGTGCTCTAGCCTGTATGATAGTGTTTCTTACTCCCTCTGGCAAATCGACGAATAGTCGTTGATCACCCATGCATGTAGCGCCCAGCGCCGTGGATGGGGGTGCCAGATCGTGCCGCGAGCTTGAGAGAGGAGATCTGCTCTGACTGGGATGGGCCACGGGGCTGTCTGTGACAGCTGAGTGAGCTCCGGAACCCAATTCTGACTCTCCCAACGCGGGGCTATGAGGAGCACCGAGTGGCGTGTGTCCCTGATCCTCTGAATTACCTGTGGTAGCAGAGCGATCAGAGGGAATGCATAGAGCGGGCGGCGAGGCCATTCCTGGGCTAGCGCGTCCTCGCTCCTTGAGAAAAATATTGGGCAGTGAGCGTTCTCTTCTGACGCGAAGAGGTCCACTTCTGCTCTGCCGAATAGCCGCCACAGTTTTTGGACCGTTTGTGTGTTCAGGGACCATTCTCCTGAGGAGATGAGGTTCCTGGACAGTATGTCTGGACCGTCGTTCAGATGGCCCGGCACATGCGTCGCTCTGAGCGAGAGCAGGCGGCTCTGAGACCAAACTAAAATGCGGTGTGTCAGTAGGAAGAGATTCCTGGATCTGACACCGCCCTGACGGTTGAGATAGGAGACCACAGCCATGTTGTCCGAACGGATCAGGACGTGGTGTCCCCGAATGAGCGGGAGGAAGCGCGAGAGCGCGTTCTCGACCGCAAGCATTTCCAGACAGTTTATGTGTAAGGGGCTTTCCTGTGTCGACCAATGGCCGAAGGCCGGTGAGCCCTCGCAGACTGCACCCCAACCCGTGTTGGATGCATCTGTCGAGATGACTTTTCGGCGGGAAAAGGTCCCCATCGTGACGCCCTGCCGAAACCATTCTGCTACTGTCCATGGCTGCAGCGCCGTGAGACATGTCTGCGTAACTCTGATCAGCTGGCGGCCCGTGTTCCACGCGCGGTGGGGTACACGGCTGTTTAACCAAAGCTGAAGCGGGCGCATGTGCAGAAGGCCCAGCTGAAGCACAGCGGAGGCTGAGGCCATGTAACCCAGCATCCTCTGAAAAGTTTTCAGAGGTGTGCGGGTGCCCATCTGAAACGAGGCGGCCAGTCGCTGTACACTGCGCGCGCGCTGTGTAGACAGGCGAGCCGTCATCGTGACCGAGTTCAAATCTATTCCTAGAAAGGAAATCGATTGACTGGGTTGAAGGGAGCTCTTTGTCCAGTTGACAGAGAGGCCCAGCGTTTTCAGATGGTCGAGGAGAACTGCGCGGTGCGACAGAAGCTCCGTCTGTGATTGGGCCAAAATCAGCCAGTCGTCCAGATAATTCAATATGCGCAGCCCCTGGCTCCGCAGGGGGGCGAGCGCCGTATCCATGCACTTCGTGAATGTACGGGGCGCCAGGGATAAGCCGAACGGGAGAACGGCGTATTGATAAACATGACCCTCGAAGGCGAAACGTAAGAATGGCCTGTGACGGGGATTTATCTGGATCTGAAAATAGGCGTCTTTCAGGTCTAGAGAGATGAACCAGTCCCCCTGGCGCACCTGCGCGAGGAGTTTTCTGGTAGTGAGCATCTTGAACGGTCTCTTCATGAGCACTTTGTTCAAAAACCTGAGATCTAAAATCGGTCTGAGGCCGCCGTCTTTCTTGGGAACCAGAAAATAACGGCCGTAAAACCCCGACTCGGTCATAGATGGTGGGACTCTCTCTATGGCGCCCTTTTGCAACAGCGTCGCAATTTCTGAGCGGAGCGTGCCGGCGGCCAGCGGGCTGACAGTAGATTCGAGCCGCGCGCGCGCACGAGGCGGGCGGCGGCGAAACTGTAGCAGATAGCCGTTCTTTATAATGCTTAGCACCCACGGGGAAATGCCTGGAATGGCTTCCCACGCTTCGGAGCATGCGGCTAGTGGCCGAATGGCTATATCGCCCTGATTGCTGCACATAGCGGGCTGGACACAGTGTGTGGGCGCGCTTTGAATGTGTGTGGCAACGGGATTTGCACTCAGAGAGGAGTCTATGGGCCGTGAAACAGAGCGAGCAGAGAGGGGACACGCGCATGAGCTCGTGGGCGTGTTTATGTTCTCTGATATTAGAGCGGGCTGTGCCCGTTTCATGTGATGGGGCTCTGAGAGAGACACGGTATATGTTATGCTTGTGTGTATGGGTGAGCACATGATTGTGGGCACATTTTCTACACAACTGGCAAATTTTCTCTTTTTGAGATTTCTCTGGGTAGCCGTAAAAACGGCTTTTTGTCGCTCGCAAGCGGGCTGGGACACCGGCTTGTTTGTGGCGGTCAACACTACAGCAGTCGGCGAAACAACGGGGACTGGCAGAGGGCGAAGCTTTGACGGCGGTCCGGCCGCAGCGGGAGAGCACCGTCGTTTTCTTAACTTTGCTAGGCAGACTTCTGATGATCAGGCTTCAGCGTGATCTTGGGTCGCGGGCCCCGTGGGGGCGGCGGTCTGCGGCGGCTGTCAGAGCGAGAGCGAGGGCGGCCGCCCTGTCTGCGCTGGGCTGTTTGAGTCTGCGGAGGGGGGCGCTGTGGTGGAGCTCTGGCAGGAGGCTCGCGAGAGCGGCCTGCGGAAGAGCTAGCGCGGCGGGGCAGAAACAAATTCATGGCCTGACTGGCTTTCTGGACCTCGGAAAAGCGATCGACGATTCCCGTGACAGCAGATCCAAAAAGGCCCGTCGGGGAGAGGGGCGCGTTAAGAAACGCGGCGCGCTCAGAATCTCCCATGTCGGCGAGCGTGAGCCATAAGTGTCTCTCGGCTACACAAAGGCTGGCCATGCATCTCCCCAGAGCTTGTGCGGCGGCTTTAGTGGCGCGAAGGGCGAGGTCCGTAGCACTTCTCAGATCCGTGACAGCGGGGGAGGGGTTTCTACCGCTTTCGGCCCACTCACGGAGAATATCGCTCTGTAGCACTTGGAGGACAGACATAGAATGCAGCGCTGCGGCGGCCTGACCGGCGGCGGCGTAGGCGCAAGCATGAAAACTCGAGGTCGCTCTGCAAGCTTTCGAAGGAAGCGTGGGGGAAGAGCGCCATCTAGCAGAGGGCGGGCAGAGGTGTGCGGCGACCAAGTCCTCAACGGGCGGCATGGCTGAGTAACCTTTTTCGGCGGCTCCGTCCACCGAGCGCAGCGAGGCGGATATATCGGAGCGGTTTCTAGCCGAGAGCGGGGCATTCCAGGACTTCGTCAGCTCCGTGTGAAGTTCAGGCAGGAATGGGGCGGCCCGTTTGCACGCGGGGGTCGAGCGCCGATGAAAAAAGCTGCCGTCCATCCGGTTCGGGGCCTGCTCGGGTGGAGGAGACCACTCGAGACCGAGGCGTTCGACGGCCTGTGAGAGGAGGCGCATTAGTTCCTCCTCTATCCCGGCGCGGATCCCCGCCGACTCTCTCGTGGATCCGAGAGATGACCATTCCTCACTGTCTGACGCGAGCAGTGAACAGGAATCCTTCTCCTCCGCGGCGTCATCGGAAGCGACAGAGCGGCCACTCGGCGGCAACTGTATGTCCGGCAGGGGCGGGGAGGGAGAGCGGGAAGCGGGAAGCGGCGGCGGCGGCCCGCATGGTTCCGCAGGGGGCTCCAGCGGCCTCTGGGAGCGGCGTTTCTTCTTACGCGGCGAAGAGGGAGGCGGCGCGGGAGCGGATCTTGCTGCCAGAAGTCGTGCCCGCAGGGACGACAACGGCAGGCTCTCACAGAAGTCGCATCCTCCATCCGCGAGGGCGAGTTCTGCGTGCTCGAGTCCCAGGCAGAGAGCGCAGATGACATGGCGGTCTCCGTCCTCGAGACGAGCGCGGCAAGAGCCGCAGGAAAAACGAGACATCTTTAAAAAGACGCTCGGCTCTTTTAGATATAGAGAAAAGAAGAAGGATACAGTCGTCGGATGGCGCTAGCTTGCAGGGCGGCTGAAGGTGGCGAAGACGGCCGGCTTCTTCAGGGTCCGGGAGCTCGCTAGAGTGATGCCTTCTCGACGGCGACGGCTTTTCTCAGGACAGCAGAAGCGTGCAGCTTGCTGAAGATGAAATGAATCAACATATAAGCCTGGGAGAGACTGTTATATACACCATAGCCACGCCCATTCTGGCGGGCCATGACGCAATGAGCGCGCGGGCGCCTCTCATTGGAAGCGGGTTCAGCCCCGCTCTCCCATAGGCTTAAGCAGTTCTCTCTGAGCGAACCAATGAGCTGCTAGCTAGCCTGCTCTAGGTTTGCCGCAGAGGAACTGCGTTGTCAATGGATACAAATTATGAAATAATTTTTTGGCTTCAAACTCTCAGCAAAGATGAATCTTTCCCGCAGCGTAAGCTAGCTTACGCAATACGAGAGAACCTCTCGTAAGAGAACACCACGCTTAGACTCCATTCTGCTCATAGACAGTGCTCCAGCATATCAACAATGGCCGCGCCGGTCACGCTGAGTATGATTGATAGCTCGCTCACGAGCGAGGGCGGGTCTGTGTTGAAACGCTGCTGTCAATCAACAATCGTGGGAGGGGCGTCCGTTTTATTGACGTCACAAAAACGAACGGCTCAATTTGAGGCAGGGGAAAACATATAAGGAGATTAAAACAAAAACACTGGATGGATTTTTATCATTATATGATGGTTGTGTACAGGCACTGCCAACACACATTTCAGTACAATCACCTTGTAAAAGTGCATGTACCATTATATGACCCCTTTAAGTTAAACAGTAGCCCAAGATCGCCCTCTGCTGCTCAAATCTTAGTTTAGTTTTAACAGGTTAATTTAGTTTAGAATTTGAATATGGCCTGAATTTTCCCTTGTTCTCGTTATATGATTTTGACTCCACATGCTGTCACTTGGAGGTGGTTTTGTAATTCTACAGACAGAAATCCAGTTTGAAGGGCATGCTCAATCCTTGTCTAAATCTGTCTATATTAATCTCTTTGTTTAATTTTATGGGCCTTTGAGACAGGAAAGTAAAGAGAGAACAGAATTTGGGCATGACGCAGGCCAGATCTGAACCTGCATGAGCACATTCACTACCCACTCTGCCAGACAGTGAAACCTTTTGTATAACCCTTCTGTACTAATCTTAGTAGAGCTATTGCTTATAGAGATTCTGTAGATCGGCCTGTGTTTAAGATAGATGGATGGATGAATGAATGAACTATTACTGTTTTTATGGTTGAGTTAAAACCAAAAACAAAACATTTTCTTTCTCCCTTAAGATGAGAAAAGGCAGACGGCTGCTTCCTGTTGATCCTCTTGAATTTAATATTGGCTTTGAGAACTCCACTTATTCCCAGCCTCCCATACTTCTGGTTCGTATGTTCTGTTCTTGCACATCTGATGTCAGAAATAAGCAAATATTATGAACAAATAATACAGCAAACACTGAAATACTGAAGTGTATTCAGTGTATCCACACTCTGTTGCCACAAAAAGTACCTTAAATTGCAGTGCCAGCTGCTTTGAATTTTAAATTGTTAGGAAAAATACATTAGATCGGCAAATGAATAATAAACGGTTAGCAGTGGTGTGAAAAATTTGTGATCCATTGTGCTAACAAATGCTGTAAAGTGCACCTGCTGAGAATTTTCTGACTGTTAACAGTGATAAGACTGTGTGTTTAAATCTTGATTGTTTCCTCACTGAAGCAAATCATCACAAAATTAGTCAAGCCAAGGTTAAAATGACAGCATCAGGGTTTGTTTCCTTTTTATTTCAGTACAGACTGAATTGGTATACTAGACAGTATTTAGTTAAAATAGTACATTTTATTTAATTTGGTAAAATATGTAAACATTTTAAGCACATGATTTCAGGTCAGGTCAGTGCTATATGTGACCATATCCTTTTTAATAATTCATTAAATATTTTTTTATTATTATTTAATCATTTATTATCGTAATTTTTTTTATTAATTTCTAAAGTATTCAGGTAGCCAAGAGAAAGTAACCCAGAGTGAGGACTCAGAAGACAACTGGTCCACAACCTTTAAGCAGATCCTGGAGAATGGAACTCATGGCAGAGGTGATGAGATGAAGGACATATTGCAAATCAGCCAGAGAAGTCTGGACAAACCCTCTCATTTTGGTAAGATGTGCTGTCCGTTTCAATTTCCCTTACAGATTTCTGAGGATTTACATGTTTCTAAGACTTTGTAGAGGTGAATGGGTTTCCCCTTCGGGCCATCCAATGTTTTTTTCCTACTGTTAGTGAGGTTTAGGCTACTTTGTGCTGGTAATATAAACGCAATACTAAATTTTAAAAACAGAAAAATTCAGGAATTGAACAAACAGGACAAAATTCTTGCCTGGCCTGGTGGATAGACTCATAAATTCCTCTTTATTTAATTTCACTATTTTCATTGAAAAATAAAAATAAACCGTGAGAAGTGTTTTGTTTGCTCTCTGTAGATGACTGCACACCATACCTAGAACACAGGATGACAAAATCTCGTTCCTTCTCCAAGATGAGCCTCTCTTCAGCTGGCAGCGCTAACTATCTCCTCCACCGTGAGCTTTCTTACAGCCTTGAAGACTCGGAGGATGATGATGAATCTGAGATGCATGTCATATACAGTCCTGCCCTACTTAGAGAGCCCTCACCAGATGAAGTTCCTCCACAGGTAGTAAAAAAAAAAAAATCATGACAAACATTTTGGTAATGATCACCTGTCAAACTGATGTGACATTTGTCGACATGTGACACTTTTACATCTTTGTTCAAATGCAAAGCTATAAAGACTTAACATCCATTACACTATTATAACCTAATGTGGCTTCACAGCTTTCTTTTAAATGCAACACATACAGTACATTTTGTATCTCTATGACACTAGATTTTTGAGCTCAATGAGCGTATGTCAGCAATCGAGACTCTTCTGAGCCGTTTGGAGCAGAAAATTACCTTACCGGTAATTGGGGGATCAGCAGAGCTGGTAAGTTTAAAGTAAAGTTTCACAACCAACAGGTTATTATTTTAGGTTAATGGAGTGTCTTATGCTCGCCAAGACTGCATGTGTTTGATCAAAAATACAGTGAAAACAGTAATATTGTAATATTACAAATAACTGTTTTATGTTTTATTGTAAAGGTACATTTTCAGCATCCATTACTCCAGTCTTCAGTGTTTCATGATCCTTCAGAAATCATTTTAATATGCTGCTTTGGTGCTCAAGAAACATTTCTTATTATTATCAATGTTGAAAACAGTTGTACAGCTTAATATTTTTGTAGAAACCGTGATAGATTTTTTTCAGGATTCTTTGATAAAAAGAATTTCAATTCATTCAATAATTTATTTTTAAGAATATAGAAGTCTTTACTGTCACATTTGATCATCCTTGCAGAATAAAATAAAAGCATTAATTGCTTTAAAAATTGACCCTAAACTTTTGAATGGTAGTGTGCATTTATACATTGCTATTTAAAAAAAATATTTAGTAGCATCCTTTATTGGTTTCACCCACAAAAGGATAAACGTGTCATCAACATTTCTGAATAAGTCCATGAAATATAACTTAGCATCTCTGAAACACTTGTATCAAAAGGACCCTCCTGACTTTAAATCCTCATGTAGTTCTTCTGCTCTCCCTTTAGGTTGAGCAAAAAGATGATCTGTCTCCAGCTGACTTAGAGGAGCTTGAGCTCAGAAAAAAGCTTGATGAACTTACTGAAAATATAAGTGACAAAGGCCTATCATCTGATGAGGAGGATGCAACGAAATCTTCAGAGGACTCTCCAAAGAAAGGGGCCCTTTACCATACTTCAGCTATGAGAAATGTCAGGCATGAGTGGCCTCTTGAGGTTGAGTGGGTAAGACAATGAGAACTAGCAGCACTAATAGCCTGTTAAACATGGTGTGTTTTAGTTCAGCTGTGACTTGAACCCACTCTGCTGGTCTTAATAATTTTGATATGTTTCTAATTCTATACTCCAGAAAGCAAAGCCGAATTTACATAAATCCTTTAAAAAGCAGAAGCGAGTGAGTTCCTTTGAGTTTAGTAACACGACCAGCAATGAACTGTTGCAACTGGAGGGTAAAGTTGCAATGGCAGCCGCCAGTGTCCAGAGCACTCAAAGCGGGGTACGCCACCCAGTCTAAACATCAAAATATACTCCAAAATGCACTCCAAATTTAAACATTTCCCATATCTTGCCAAAGTTGTCTGTTAAAAATTGCATATTTCTTACTTAAAGGTTACAGACATTCAGAAAAGAATCGCTGCTTTGAGTGCTGCAGGGATGACTGTGGAGATGTCCCGTAGACGGGTATGTGGAGATCCAGCTGTTCACAGAGTCACACATTCCTGTTTAGATTTGCATGACCTTGGCAGTACAGAAGCATGAAACTCTCACAGAAAAAAAATAAATATATATATATATACTGTATATACACTCACCTAAAGGATTATTAGGAACACCATACTAATACTGTGTTTGACCCCCTTTTGCCTTCAGAACTGCCTTAATTCTACGTGGCATTGATTCAACAAGGTGCTGAAAGCATTCTTTAGAAAAGTTGGCCCATATTGATAGGATAGTGTTCTGTAAAGGGAACTAAAGTTTCATGGTGACACACGGACTGTTTTGAAGGTGACACATATGTTCCTAGTAAACGTTCATGCTAAGCATACGCCAGCTCTCAGTGTCTTTATTCAGTGCATACACCCGGCACATTTAACGTAACATGGTGTCAGAAGAAAAACGGAAAGGAGGACAGTAGAAAGACCAAAGACGAACTAAACCTGTGAAGAAAAACAAAGTCCTGAAAAAGGAAGGAAGATGGACGGAGAAATAACGGCGCCACAGCTAGCGCTGCCAGGCAAGTTCAACTTCTCCAATGCTAATGAATGGCCGAGATGGATTAAGCGCTTCGAACGCTACAGAATAGCGTCAGGATTGGATAAACAATCGTCAGAGTTTCAAGTGAATGCCTTCATGTATGCAGCTGGTGATGATGTCGAAGATATTTTAAAAGTTTTACCCCTCACGGACGAACAGAAGAAGTCCTATGACGCGGTTACAGAGGCTTTCACGGCGCACTGTGTCAGCAAGCGGAACGTTATCTTCGAAAGAGCGCGCTTCAACAGACGAAACCAAGAGCCCGGTGAGAGTGTTGAGTCCTTTATAACAGCGGTGCACACACTGGCCGAACACTGTGAATTTGGGGTCCTGAGAGAACAGTTAATAAGGGACCGAATTGTGGTCGGCATTAGAGATGCTAAGTTATCAGAAAGTCTACAGTTAGATGCTGATTTGACGCTAGCAAAAGCCATGACAAGAGTGAGACAGAGTGCAGCAGTGAAAAAACAGCAGCCAGTGTTACGAGGGACAGAGCAAGCGACCGGACAGGTTGAAGCAATACAGCAAAAACATACTAAATGGCGGAAAGCGGCCAAAGATAAACCTGATTCAAAGTCATCTGAATGCAGCAGGTGTGGATTTTCAAGGAAACATTTGTGGAAGGACTGCCCCGCCCGTGATGCAGAGTGCAGGAGTTGTCACAAAAAGGGACACTTTGCAAAGAAATGCAGATCGACTGGTGGGGTCCATGACATCTCAGAGGCACATATTGGGAGCAAACACGAGGAGGATTTTGCTTTCCTAGAAGTGGGCTCCGAGGGAGAGGATGAGTGGATAGAGACAGTGCAGTTAAATGGAGATGCAACTGTTGTCAAACTGGACACTGGAGCAAGTGTTACAGCAATTCCAAGCTGCAGCTACTCCATTAAAAAGCATGGGACACTTCAACAGCCACTTAAAGTGCTGTATGGACCAGGAAACTACAAATTGGAAGTAAAAGGACGCTTTAAAGGGGAGCTGAGTCACGAAAAGGTAACAACAGAACAAGACATTTATGTTGTTAAAGATTTGACTAAGGCACTACTGGGCCTTCCTGCTATAAAAGCACTCAAGCTAATAAGGCGTGTTTACACTGTACAAGCCCGACAAGAGGATTTTAAGGCTCAGTACCCTACAGTGTTTTCAGGCTTGGGAAAATTAAAGGAGCCCTACAAAATAGAGCTGGAGCCAGGTGCGGTCCCGTATGCTCTGTCATCCCCACGCCGCGTGCCTCTACCACTGCGAGACAAGGTGCAGGCAGAGCTGAAGCGTATGGAGGACATGGGGGTGGTTTCAAAAGTGACCCAGCCCACACCCTGGTGCGCAGGCATGGTTGTGGCGCCAAAAGCTCAGCCAGGAAAGATTCGGCTGTGCGTGGACCTGACGCACCTGAACAAGTGGGTGCGGAGAGAGAGACATATCCTCCCAGCAGTAGACCACACACTAGCCATGCTGGCCGGGGCAAAAGTGTTCACGAAGCTGGACGCAACCTCCGGTTTCTGGCAGATCCCGTTGTCGGAGGAAAGCCAGCTCCTCACTACATTCATCACCCCATTCGGGCGAAATGCATTCAATCGCCTACCATTTGGCATCTCATCAGCCCTGGAGCACTTCCAGCGTCGCATGTCGCAGATGTTGGAGGGGTGCGACGGAGTGGTGTGTCATGCGGACGACATAGTCGTGTATGGAGAGGACATACAGCAGCACAATGAGAGACTGTACCAGGTGCTGAAGAGACTGAGAGATGAAGGACTCACGCTGAACGAAAAATGTGAGTTTACAAAATATAATATCATGTTTGTGGGTCATCGTGTCACAGCAGGTGGCGTGACACCTGATCCAGATAAGGTCAGAGCCATCATGGAGATGCCCGAACCAAAGGGAGTGGAAGACGTGAGGAGAGTGATGGGGATGGTGAACTATTTGGGCAAGTTTTTACCCCACTTTACGTCATACACCAGACCAATTAAAGACCTGCTCTGTGAGAAGAACGAGTGGTGCTGGGGAGCGCCACAGAGGGAGGCGTTCCAGAGACTTAAAATAGAACTGAGCTCACCACGGGTGCTGGCCTCATACTCAACCACAGCAGAGACGTGTGTGTCGGCAGACGCCTCATCCTTTGGCCTGGGGGCTGTTCTCAGTCAACAACAGAGTGATGGAACGTGGAGGCCCATCATGTTCATCTCCAGGGGCCTGTCCGAGGCCGAAAAACATTATGCACAGATCGAAAAGGAGGCTTTGGCTGCGACGTGGGCATGCGAAAGGTTGATGCCTTATCTCCTGGGACTGAAGTTCAGGTTAGAGACAGACCATAAACCTCTAGTGCCACTCCTGAGTACCAAGGCGCTAGATGAACTCCCTCCCAGGGTGCTGAGATTCAGACTGAGACTGATGAAGTTCACGTTTGACATTGTGCATGTGCCAGGCAAGAGTTTAATAACAGCAGACACATTATCAAGAGCCCCTGTAGGACACACACTCACACAGGAGGAAAAAGAAAACGAGGCAGAGGTTAAAGTTTTTGTGGATGCTGTCATCCAAAGCCTCCCCGCCACTGAAACAAGACTGAAGGTAATACAAGAAAAACAGAAAACTGACCCTGTGTGTGCAAAGCTCATCAGATACTGCAAGACAGGCTGGCCGGAGAAAAGTGCCATTTCTTCAGAGCTGGGGCCATATTGGCCTGAAAGAGCGACACTGACATTAGCAGGAGAGCTGCTTCTCAGGGGCCAAAGAATCGTCATTCCCCACGACATGAGACAAGAGATCCTCAGCAACCTCCACAGTGGCCATCAAGGTATTGTCAAGTGCAGAGCGAGAGCACAACAGTCCGTCTGGTGGCCAGGACTGTCCGTACACATCAGTCAGCTGGTGGAGAACTGTAACACATGCTCACAGCACAGGGCAGAGCACCGAGAGCCTTTGCTGACCACCCCGGTACAGGAGAGACCCTGGCAAAGAGTTGGTACAGACTTATTCTTCTGGGAGAAGAAGACTTATCTCCTTATAGTGGACTATTTCTCACGTTACATTGAAGTTGCCCACCTCCATATTGCCTCAGCCAACACAGTAATTGCAGCTCTGAAAGAAGCATTTAGCCGCCACGGGATACCAGACACAGTTGTGTCTGATAATGGACCACAATACAGCTGTGAGATGTTCAGAGACTTTTCCACAGAGTACGGGTTTACACACATCACGAGTAGCCCAAGATACCCGCAAGCAAACGGAGAGGCAGAGCGTGCGGTGGCTACCATAAAAGGACTTTGGAAAGGAGGAGGTGAGAAACTAAAAGCTTTGATGGCGTATCGAGCCACACCCCTGGAGTGTGGTTACTCCCCTGCACAACTCCTTATGGGCAGACAGCTACGCACAACGATACCTCAGCTTCCAGTATCCCTGCTTCCCTGCTGGCCAAACATCAGAGGGTTCAAGAAGGGTGAAAAACGGCTGAAAGAAAAACAACAACTCCGCTACAACCTGCGCCATAGAGCCCGCCCCCTGCTGCCTTTGCAGCCGGGACAAAATGTGTGGCTCCCAAGAGAGGAGAGACAAGGGACAGTCGTTCAGCAGGCTACAACACCCAGATCTTACATTATTCACACAGATGAAGGACAGATCAGGAGAAACCGAAAACACCTACGTACTGTGCACCAACCACATCCTCAGGTGCTGCTGGATACGACTGTTACAACTAAGGAGTCAGACAACCAGGTCGCACACCAACATGAGAGCACTGACACAGACAATCACAAACAGACATTCACATCCAACACCCCATATGTGACAACCTCAGGAAGAGTGTCACGCCCGCCAGAGCGCATGGACTTGTGAGAGACTGGGGTGAAGAGAGAAGGAAAAAAAAGTGCATTATTCTATAAATGTTCTGTTGTGAGGTTTTGTTTGATAAGAATTTCCTGATAAGTGAGTATTGCTTTCAAGGGCTTTAGATAGTTGTCAGAGGGGGGGATTCTTACTTAAGAGGGGAGGTGTTCTGTAAAGGGAACTAAAGTTTCATGGTGACACACGGACTGTTTTGAAGGTGACACATATGTTCCTAGTAAACGTTCATGCTAAGCATACGCCAGCTCTCAGTGTCTTTATTCAGTGCATACACCCGGCACATTTAACGTAACAGATAGCATCTTGCAGTTGATGGAGATTTGTGGGATGCACATCCAGGGCACGAAGCTCCCGTTCCACCACATCCCAAAGATGCTCTATTGGGTTGAGATCTGGTGACTGTGGGGGCCATTTTAGTTCAGTGAACTCATTGTCATGCTCAAGAAACCAATTTGAAATGATTCGAGCTTTGTGACATGGTGCATTATCCTGCTGGAAGTAGCCATCAGAGGATGGGTACATGGTGGCCATAAAAAGATGGACATGGTCAGAAACAATGCTCAGGTAGGCCGTGGCATTTAAAGGGATACTCCACTTTTTTTGGAAATAGGCTCATTTTACAACTCCCCCAGAGTTAAACTGTTGAGTTTTACCGTTTTTGAATCCATTCAGCCGATGTCCGGTTCTGGCGGCACCACTTTTAGCATAGCTTAGCATACATCATTGAAGTGGACAAGACCATTAGCAGTTCTCAAACAAAAATCACCAAAGGGTTTCGATATTTTTCCTATTTAAAACTTGACTGACTCTTCTGTAGTTACATCGTGCACTAAGACCGACGGAAAATGTAAAGTTGCGATTTTCTAGGCTGATATGGCTAGGAACTATACTCTCATTTCTGCGTAATAATCAAGAAACTTCACTGCCGTACCATGAGTGCAGCAGGCGTAATGATATGACGCAGCGCCTGAAAATAGTTCCGTTGTGTTGACGGAAGGTGGCCTATTTTCAAGCGCTGCGTCATATCATTACGCCTGCTGCTCTCATGGTACGGCAGTGAAGTTTCTTGATTATTACGCAGGAATGAGAGTATAGTTCCTAGCCATATCAGCCTAGAAAATCGCAACTTTACATTTTCCGTCGGTCTTAGTGCACGATGTAACTACAGAAGAGTCAAGTTTTAAATAGGAAAAATATCGAAACTCTTTGGTGATTTTTGTTTGAGAACTGCTAATGGTCTTGTCCACTTCAATGATGTATGCTAAGCTATGCTAAAAGTGGTACCGCCAGAACCGGAGATCGGCTGAATGGATTCAAAAACGGTAAAACTCAACAGTTTAACTCTGGGGGAGTTGTAAAATGAGCCTATTTCCAAAAAAAGTGGAGTATCCCTTTAAACGATGCCCAATTGGCACTAAGGGGCCTAAAGTGTGCCAAGAAAACATCCCCCGCACCATTACACCACCACCAGCAGCCTGCACAGTGGTAACAAGGCATGATGGAGCCATGTTCTCATTCTGTTTACGCCAAATTCTGACTCTACCATCTGAATGTCTCAACAGAAATCGAGACTCATCAGACCAGGCAACATTTTTCCATTCTTCAACTGTCCAATTTTGGTGAGCTCTTGCAAATTGTAGCCTCTTTTTCCTATTTGTAGTGGATATGAGTTGTACCCGGTGGGGTCTTCTGCTGTTGTAGCCCATCCGCCTCAAGGTTGTGCGTGTTGTGGCTTCACAAATGCTTTGCTGCATACCTCGGTTGTAACGAGTGGTTATTTCAGTCAAAGTTGCTCTTCTATCAGCTTGAATCAGTCGGCCCATTCTCCTCTGACCTCTAGCATCAACAAGGCATTTTCGCCCACAGGACTGCCGCATACTGGATGTTTTTCCCTTTTCACACCATTCTTTGTAAACCCTAGAAATGGTTGTGCGCGAAAATCCCAGTAACTGAGCAGATTGTGAAATACTCAGATACTCAGACCAGCCCATCTGGCACCAACAACCATGCCACGCTCAAAATTGCTTAAATCACCTTTCTTTCCCATTCTGACATTCAGTTTGGAGTTCAGGAGATTGTCTTGACCAGGACCACACCCCTAAATGCATTGAAGCAACTGCCATGTGATTGGTTGATTAGATAATTGCATTAATGAGAAATTGAACAGGTGTTCCTAATAATCCTTTAGGTGAGTGTATATATATATATGTGTGTGTGTGTGTTTTTGTTTTTGTTTTTTTTAACACATTAGAGCAATATATAGCAAGTTCAGAAAGAGGCTAAATGTAGTTTTCTGTTCTTCCCTTTTTCATTCAGGCTCCTCAGCCATCAAGGATATTGCATGAATTTCCAATTAGTAAGATTTTCGATAACATGTAATCTGTCATTTACATGCATTTAACTCAATCATCTTTGTGTTGTATAAAATGCAAAGAGCTATGATTTAGTTGAAGGGATACACTTAAAGGGATAGTTTCACAAACTGATTTTTGTCCAGTTTTAGATTATTAAACAATAGACATATTGTTTAAAATGAAAACAAATAAAGATGGCTACCACAGTTCCTAATACAAATCCCAGTATTTGTAATATTAGTTTTATTTCTTGATTCCTCATAATATATTCTGAACCACACAGTGATTTTAACGCATAAACTGATAGCAATCAGGTCCACTGCTCAGTCTCTGGAACAAATCGACTACCCATCTCCTGTGGTCATGAAAGGGCCTATATGAAAAATCTTCTGTTTGGTTATAATGGGAGCTGTAATGAAATTCCTTTTTTAGAAAGTCACCAAAATCTCTTTACTGGTCAGTTTTTTATCAAAATCCACTCAGGATTCATGTAAGAGACATCATAAGGAAACATGTATTGTGTACTAATAATGGTCTTTTTGCTTTCTCTGAAGGAGGCAGCAATGGAGCAAGATCTTTACGGAAGATGTTCACTATGTGACGCAAGTTCAGCAAGTTAGCGTTCTCTACATATTTTTTGTGGGCCATGATAGAATACAAAATCACAGAACATAAACGCACATTAACATATTTCATATGTTAATAAAGTCAGCTGCAAGGGCTTGTGTGCTGAACTCCTAGCTAAATAATATATAATTGATACCTGCTTCAATCTTTCATTAGATGAGTGTCAGATTATTCAGATAAATGAGGCTCACCTTGTAGCATTTGCTGTTTCTTAGAATAGAAAACATAATAGATTTTGTTTCTTTACACTTAATAACTGCTGTCATATTGATGATGACTCAGTATTTATATAGTCATTATTTAATATCTTAATTCAGATTTGTATGTAGTTTCCTTTGGTATATTTCTTGAAATATTGTATTTGATATATTTTTAATATTACAAATGCTTGTTTTTCTGCTCATTAAATATCTAAAACCATTTTCTTTTCTGTCACTTTGTCCTCTGTCAGCGATGTATTAATGAATCAAGCTCAATTCCAACATATGCTGGGTTATCCCCCAGTCTTCATATCCACATTACCACTATCTTTTGCATATTTAGGGTAAGGATGATTTGTGTGTACATAAGCTGTGTAGCCTTCACCCTCCCCCAGAGGTGGTATAAATAGGTGGATCAGGCTATCCAGGAGAAAATATCCTCAACCTCTGAGAACGACTCAAGAATGCTGCTTTAGAAGTTTTCATATACTCACAGCTATGACAAGACTATAAGATCACAAATCCTCTGAACAACTCCTTGAAGACAAGACACATGTATGTTGCTTCTGCATTAAAGGATTTTTCATCTGACAGTTGAGGAACACAGAATACCAAGAGGTGAACAGCTTACAACATCCTGTAAGAGTCAATGCATTGTAATTGACAAAATATGATTTTGTAGAAGACTTATTTTAATTAAATTACTTTTTTCAATTAAGAATCTTGTAAAATGTAGCAGTTTCAAATAGAAAACATTACCGTTAAATTCTGTAAATATTTGGTGCTATTCTACTAACAGTATATTAGTAAAGGCTGTATTTTGTCATATATTTTCTTCTCACAAAGACATTTTTATAGCGATGATTTAAATATGTAATCTGCAAAACATAGAAACCAAAGTGGTAAGCATTTATGTATTTTTTTTTTAGTTTAGTGTTTTTAATGGGGAAAAAACACTGATTACACTTTTGATCGCTGTTTGCTGTTGTTGGTTTGCAGGTGACACTTTTCTCTCAGTTCTGGTGATAGACACTAAGCCATGCTTGAAAGGCTGTGTGCTCTGCTCTGTATCCTTATGCTGTTAGCATGTTTTACCCAGCCAAAACCTCATGATGAGCTTCCATTACGCTCAATGGGGATGAGGGGTATGATTTTACTGATTCAAATATTTTAAATGTTTGCTATAATATATAATATCAAATGTTCCTATTCTTAATACTATTATTCCCTGTAGATCCAAACATTGATGCCGTTTGGTATAAAGGCAGAGGAATACGACCTGTTGGGAGATTTGGTCGAAGGATGGCACAAAGAGGCGAAGGATCATATTTTGGAAAGCACATGTTTTGCTATCCTGAGGTCCTGGCTGTAGACTGACAACTCAAACTTACAGATTATTACAAATTACATTAAAGCATCTGCTTATGTTATGTACGCACTTATTTTATTATTTGTTCAATGCATTTAATTTCAAAACTATACATATTAATATATGTGTTAAAATGTGTCATTGTACTTGATAAACTGTTAACAGACGTTGTGTTGTGTTGAAACATTGCTGTGTTACTGCTACCCTCAGTACAGATAAATGCATGTTCATATGACATCGACGGAAAAATCAGACTGACAAATAACAATTTAAAGTATTCTGATTTACACTTTTATCATATCAGGGTATTAGAAATATTGGTTGATGGAATGTTCAAAATCCATTTAAACTCAATCTGCAGAAAATGTATAACAGTATGTAGAGCTTATGCATCTGCATTACAATGTCATTCTTTATTTGATGACCAACAAACCTGAACAAATAACTGCTGAAGTAGTTATGAGCAGCTTTATCAATGTTTGTTTCTCCACCACGGTGAGACAAAGAAAAAAATCAAACCAAATGAGGTTAATTATGAGGGGAATAGTCAAACTGATGTCACTGGGGAGAGAACAGATAGATTCTGTCTGGTCACAGTTCTTAAAGGCCATATGCATCTGAAAACTGCTGAATCCAAATAAGAGTCTTTGCAAAGGCAGTTCTCATGGTCTGTAGATGTGCAAACCAAACGCACCCTCGGCACATCCAACATTTGGTCATGTCCGTTTACAAAGCATTCAATAACAAATTTATACATTAAAAATGACTCAGAATCTGCAGGAATGACTTTCAGTGGTGGATGAAAACAGACTTGAGGTAAAAAGTCAAGATGCTCAGCGGTCCAAAGAACGTTTCTGGATCGCCTCAATAACAACATTTTTGAGGAGGGCGATTACAGAACGAGGGTCGTCACTGCTCACTACGGCACTGCCCGACACGATCATGTTTGCTCCAGCCTAGGGTTGTTGAAGTAACAAGTAAAGATGAGTAAAACGCTTCTAATAATTTCTTGCTTTTGCATTCATACAACTAAATAAGAGAGGTAAGTGATTTGTGTACCTCTGCACATCTGTGGATGCTGTCTGGGCCGACTCCTCCATCCACTTCAATGTCCAGAGAAGGGAACTGACTCCTGAGCCAACTCACCTGTAGAGATACACAAGCATTTTCAATGTTTAATATTGTTGTCTGAGGATTCTAAATGAGAATACTAGAGGTAAAACACATTTGCATACCTTTGGCATCATATCTTCCATAAACTTCTGACCACCAAAGCCAGGCTCTACGGTCATGACAAGAGCCATATCGATCTGCCTAGCCCACGGTGCCAATTCCTCAACAGTTGTTCCAGGTTTGATGGCAAGACCAACCTGCATAAAAAAATTTAAAAAATCATAAGACGGTTGTTACATCTTTTACTATGAGTAGCAATTGATCTAGGACAGGTTTTTATATATATATAGCATTTTCTCTACTTCTAGAGTCTCTAATTTCATGTCCAAGTCAAAATCTTACAAGTCTAATTCAAGCCTCAAGGTTTTTGTTTTTTTGTGCAACTTAAATCTGCAGTAACTTTAGGCGCTCTAGCGGTTAATAAACAAAACTGCATGCGTCTTGCGGAAGAACATTGTAGGTGGAGCTACTTTCTATCTGTTTATGTCCTTTATGTCTATGATGAGTCACGGAGGTACTGGGCTACTCCGCAGCGGTACGACCCGTACCAGTCTAAAATAGACAGAATAGAAACACTTATTATAGGTGTAGGAGCCATGTAATGGGAAAGTCATGTGACCAAACGATAATGGGAGTGTCATTAATTAAGTGGGGTTAAAACACCTGTTGTGTGTGTGTGTTCATATGGAAGAATGGGGGTGAGTGCTGGAGCACATATTTTGTTGACCGTGCAAACGTGAAACCTGTACAAAATAAAACAACATGCAAGCTTCAAGGATAAACGCGTCACAGAAGTTATTCCTCCACTCAGCTCCTTAGCGGTTTTGGGATTGTTTTTATGTGCCGCTACAATAGGTGTACTGTAGTGATTCAGGATAAGACAAAAACAAGGTTTGGAAAATGGATTCATGATGCACTCGCTCATTATAAAGATATTGTAAATTTTGAACACAAAAAGGTTACATTAAATGCAACATGCCTTAACCCCTTAAGCCCTGAGGGCATTTTTAGAGTTGTTTTAGAGTTGCGGTAGCAAAGGCTCTATCTCCTCTATGCTTTAATCGTGATCTGGGGACAGATAAAAGTCTCTTATCACCAGACCTCAGATTTCATGTGGGATTGTATGGACAGAGTAGCTCAGACAAATAGCTCGGTGCCAGATTATTTAAGGATTTAAAAACAAAGAGAAGAGTTTTCAACTCAATTCTAAAATGCACAGGTAGCCAATGCAGCGATTTCAAAATTGGAGAAACATGATCAAATTTACGTTTTCTTTTGAGGAACTTTGCAGCTGCATTTTGTACTAATTGGAGACGAGCAATAGAGTATTTGGTCATGCCATAGTAAAAAGAGTTGCAATAATCCAAACAAGATATAATGAGCGCATGGATGGCAATCTCTAGGGTTTTCTCAGACAGAGAGGATTTCATCTTAGAGAGAAGACGTAGCTGGAAAAAACAAGAACTAATCACCGCATTTATTTGTTTTTAAATTTCAAACCTAAGTTCTTAATGCAGGATGAAGTAAAAGGAGCAAGGTAATCCAGGTCAATGTTACTGCCCTTAAAGTTTTCATGGGGGCCAAAGGCTATAACCTCGGTTTTAGATTCATTCAGAAATAAGACATTTTGAGAAAACCAAATTTTTACTTCATCTAGGCATTCAAAAAGAGATTTCAGAGCAGCATGTTTGTTGAGTTTCATCACGCATCACTCATAACTCCAAAACTATAGCAAGGAGAGTTACATTACATTTGGACATTCTCATGCAGAGAAACTGCTGATAAAAGACAAAAAATATATATCATTTTTATAATGATTTTGCATATCTTTCTTGTTTGACATGCAATAACTCGGGAAGGAAATACGCTAGGGGGTTAATTCTTTTTTGATGAAGTTCCCCTAAATGTGAGCTGCATCTGGATAAAATATTGTGGTGATTGCATAAAGTAATCAAAAGTTACAGCATTTGGAACCAAGATAGCCTTTTTGTTCAGTCCTTGACGCCCCCTAATGGGCATTTTTAAAATTGTAAAATTGTTTGAATCTTGTGTTCAAACTTAAAGGAACACACCGACTTTTTGGGACTTTAGCTTATTCACCGTATCCCCCAGAGTTAGATAAGTCCATACATACCCTTCTCATCTCTGTGCGTGCTGTAACTCTGTCTGACGCACCAACCGCTAGCCTAGCTTAGCACAAATACTGGAGGTAAACGGCTCCATCTAGCCTACTGCTCCCAATAAGTGACAAAATAACGCCAACATTTTCCGATTTACATATTATGATTTGTATAGTCACAGTGTGTATAAATAACAAGGTCACATGAGACACGCCATCTTCGAACCGTATACATACTGGGAACTATATTCTCAGAAGGCGAAGCACTGCTACTTGGGTGGAGTGATTAGCGCAACACCTGAAAAGCACCGTTGTTACTTCCGTCAACAAAACCAACGTGACTAGCTAGCTAGTAGCAAACGTGACTGGTGATCTCAGGTGCTGCGAGCAAATCACTCCACAGAAGTAGCAGATCTAAATTAAGATCTAAATAATCAGGGGCATAGCATTCAAAGCAGCATATTGAAGCATCTGCCTATATTATAATAAATGTATTATTTCATATTTTTTATTTAATTAATTAGCTTCTTTTACATTTTACATTATTTGTGCTTTTCAATACAATAGAACATTTGAGAATTGTTAATCATCAGCCATGATCTTTTTAAGACATATCATTTTATATATCTATAAAACAATACTGGTTTTGCAATACTTTAGCACAGACCTTCATGCCGCTCTCTCTGATTTCCTTGATGAGGTTGCCAGGGTTGGCAGTGGCTTCTAGATGGAAAGTGTACTGATTGGCTCCAGCTGCTGCCATGGGTTTCACCCATTGCTCTGGCCTGGACACCATCATATGCATGTCTGTAATAAAGCAAAGAGTAAGCAAAGTCTCCAAACACTGCAAGGGTCTATCCTACAAGCAATGTTTATTTAAAAATTTAAAGAGAGAGTGAAAACGTGAAATAACCCACTTTAGCAGATTATTAACAAAACTGTCCGAAAGAGGAGCGCCAGAATGTATGCAGCTCAAATGCATTAGAAACAAGAGTAGATACAATTTTGCAAAGACTGGAACCCACCAAAAAATGGATCAGGTCCGATACAGCGTCGTAAACATTCCACCATAGGATGCCCAAATGTGAGGTTTGGAACAAAATGCCTTTAGATGCAAAGATGAAGGAAAGAGTCCAGGGAGGCAGAATTAGATGTCTTAACTTCTGACACATGATTCATCAACTTTTAATTTTGTATATGTGTATATATGTATATGTGGCACTCTCCATGAATAGGGTACAAAATAGAGCCTGAAACTCAAAAAATGGACACCATGGCAGAACGGATAACAGAGTTGCAAATATAGCCAAATAACCTATTACACTAGGGGGGGGGGCAAACTAGTTTGGAACCAAATTAATGAATTAATGAATGTTCAAAAGATTGGGGCGAGAAATAATTTTTTGTAAGAAATTAATACTTTTATTCAGCAAGGGTTAATTAAATTTATCAAAAAAGACAGCATAAAGACATGTCACAAAATATTACTTAAAAATGTTTTTTCTTCTGAACCTTCCATTCATCAAACAATACTAAACAATGAGTTTCCACAACAATATTAAGCAACTGTTTTTAACACTAACAATAATAACAAATGTTTTTTTTATTTCTCAAGGATCATGTGACACAAGAATGGCATATGCTGAAAATTCAGCTTTAAAGAAATATTAATAAATTACATCTTAAAATATATTTAAATAGGATAATAATAAATATAATAATACGTAATATTTCACATTCTTACTTTCTACTATATTTTAATTAAAAAAAGGCAGCTTTGGAGAGCATAAGAGACTTATTTCAAGAACATTTAAAAAATCTTATCGAACCGAAACTTTGAATGTTTAATCTTGGCGGATCTAGTCAACACTCACTTATGTAAAAATTTAGGGATTGGGATAAGATCATTTACTTGTCACTCTGCAATGCTGTACTTCACCAAGCTGTGCAAGATTTCTTGTATGTCACAGTTTTGAGTGTGAGAAAATGTGGGACAACTAAATATTCATTTTTTTTTTTTTTTTTGGTAATTAAAATGTCTTTTTATAGGCAGTTCTCTGGACCATTTGATCGCTGTAACTGACTGCATGTCAACAGTTTGTGAGATGAGAAAGTTACATAAAGATTTGCAAACTTTACTCCTCCTCACCCATCCATAACGTCAAGGTGCAGATAATCAGCACCGCACTCCATCATTCGTTCACATTCCGTCCCGAGCTGCGACAGATCACTGCTCAAAATAGACGGTCCGATTTTCGCCGAGTACGCCATGCTGCTTCTGCTCTGCTGCCACTGCTGCACACTTCCGCTATTCACAGACGCATTTCATAACAAAAGTCATGCCTTTTTCCATTACTGCCAGGAGGTGGCGCGATTTGAAAAAGAAACACCGACGCCTAGACACCATATCATTGACATTGATGATAATCTTTTTTTTAAAAACTAAACTAATAATAATAAATAATAGAAAATAATGGGTTGTAAGGATTGACATTCTTAATATACCTTCCTAGCAATACATTTCTCTGACTCCTTGTAATGTACCTGACAATGTATATTTAGTGGTCTCAAGTGCAGTTGCTTTGACCTTTATGTGCTGGAAGTTTCCGTTTCTGAATTCACAACTTCTTCTGTGTTGAAGTCATAGACTGTAAAAAGTAGGCCTACACCAAAATAAAAGTATTTCTAAATTCTTTCTAAACTGTTTTTATTTCTGTATTCTAAAAAAAGAATAATGTAAAAACAAAATGTCAGTAGTTTGTTAGTGTAAGAGCCATATTTCATATTTCAAAATTAATATTTTCACATTTTTTTATTACGTAAATTTGGTATAATAATTATTTTTGTTAATTAGTCATTTACCGTTAAATATATGTTTTGGTTTATATTTGTTCTTACTGCACATGTTCAGTGTCGTCTATTTTGTAGCGCGTGTAAAAAAGTTTGACGCACATGCAAAATAAGTGCAGAAGCACAGTGGGAGAACACAAAGCTTTTGGCTGTTTAATATCATAATATAGCATAAATTGGCTCACAAGTTTATATCTCTACAAATAAATTGTTGAGAAGACATTGCTGCGCAAGAGGATTATGCTGTAGGCCTATGTAAGAAATGTGATTCTTTATTGACTTGGAAGAATAAACAGTGATAAAGGAACTATGGACTTCGAGTTGTGAATACAAGATAAGAAGATACACATCAAAACTTGTGGAAATAGCCTATAAGGACATTCACATGTCCCGTATCAGTTAGCTTGTTAAAACATCAAAAAACATGCATATTAACCCAGATAGCATGGTGACATTGATACAATGTTGAGTTTTGATCCAAACCATCATTTTGGTTGAGATTGATATTTCAATGTTTAAAGTGCGTTGGATCAGCATTGCAATTTTGATGAAAGCCTACATGGGTGGAGACAGTGACATTGAACTAACAGTGATCTGTAGTTGATGAGCACAAGATCATTCAGGCATGTATCTCTTTAGAACACTAGTGGGTGTTTCTCAATTAGTGGGGCGTTTTCAAACCACAATGGGCATTTTCAACCGCTTTACCCGATTTGCTCTAATCCACTGGGGGATTGGTTTAGGGGTGGGCCTTCGTGATTTTAGTTCTGTTGAAAAATGGTTGAAAAACATTTATTGTAGTTTGAAATTGGCCACTGATTGGTAAATGCCCATTGTGGTTTTGCATGCACTTCTCAGTAGTCTAATGCTTCCTCATTAGAGAGAAAATATAGGTGCATCCCATACAGACCTCTTGTTTGTTGAAGCACCTGACATACTTACATGACTTCTCTAGCACAGTTTCAAACAATGGTGCATCTACCTTATTTCTCTGTTCCTTTGTTTTGCGTGCTTATTTGCGTTTGATTTGTGTTGTTACTCACTGTAATTAGATACATTAAAAAGTTATTAAACTGTTTAAATAAAGCATCTATTTTTCTACATTCTTAAAAGATGCATCTTGCTTTAGTAAAGTTTATTAGGAATTTCCTGAATAAAGTTATAACATCATTTAACAGATTTCTTGAAGTGCAGGAGACATGAACATGAGCAAGAATTACACTGCAAACATAGCCCATGTCTTGCATCCGTCAGTGCTTGCATGCAGAGCACATTGCTCCTTTAGTAGGAGTGAAGGCAGATGAAGATGGACAATAAAAAAAGAGAAGCACCCTCCTGATAATGTTGACATTGATTATACACTGAGTTGTTGTCGACAGCATAATCACCTGACCTGGGACTTGATGATATCCTGAGCCTTATCACTGCTTAATCAGGTAACATCCATATTCCTTAATCTCTATTAAATTTGAGAAACGTAACTGATTTCCATTCAGTTTAGCTTGTTTCCACTGAAACACAATAACAAAAAACATCTTGTGTTTATTAAGAAAGGGACTGACTATTTTGTGATATTTAAAGGTGCAATGTGTAGAAACTTTGAGTATCTATTAACAGAAATGCAATATGACATCCATAACTATGTTTTCAGTGGTGTATAAAGAACTTACTTAATAAACCGTAATGTTTTTATTACCTTAGAATGAGACATTTATATCTACATAACCGCGGGCACCCCCTTCTATGAAGGTCGACATATTGTGACGTCATGTTTCTACCGTAGCCGACAGCGAACAAACATCGCTACAGAGCGCGTTTCGTCACTACCTTGTAAGAGAAGCAGCAGAAAGCTAGAAGCCATAAACACCGTGAGTAGTGACTTTTCCCTTGTCAGTGGTGTAAAATATGTAGTTGGATTGTTTCATGTAACTTAGTTCTTCTCCCTCGCTGTGTTATGGCTTGCTATGTGGGGATAAATGTGCTGGTTACGTTCGTGAGACAGCTGATTAGTACTCTAGTCATTGACCGTAAAACAGTATGTTACAGGAATCACCAACCCGTCGATCGCGGTCGACAAGTCGATCTTGGAAGCATTTTAAGTCGATCGCGAAGAGTTTTCAAAATCAGAGAAAAAAAGCCTATTGTGTGTAGTAAATGGTGTCTAGGGGATGCGGAGGCGCGCGCGCTGTTACAATCATGTCATTTTTGCCGCGCGCACCTTTGGGCTCATGCGGACGCGTCGAGTTTAAACAAGGCTTTACGCTTTAACCAGCTCAGCCACAGTAACAGCTCATATTTAGCCAGCTAAACTTTTACTACCCTGTTAGAAAAAATATATAGTTGCATAATTTCATGTGGTTCTTCTCCCTTGCTGTATTATGGGTTTGCTTTGTGGGGAGAAATGTGCTGGTTACATTTGTGAGACAATCAGTTGATAACTATTATTATATTATATAGCATATTAAGACCCTTGATCCTCACCTGACTATGGCTTTGTAAACTTTATCCATGATGTGGTTTATAATGGACTGTGGTACAGAAACTTGGCTTACTCTGGCTATTCTCTGCTGTCTCAGACGACGATATGTTTGTCCCGTTTTAGCCACCGTAGCTTCTTCGAAAGGGAGGGGTGAGCAGTGGGCTGAGCCCTTAGTGCAACTCGCAACCGAACCGCTAGATGTCGCTAAAAAATACACACTGCACCTTTAAGGTCTACATAAGGTGAATCTGCAGCTTTATAGGGATAGTTCAGCCAATTATGTCATCATTTATTTACCCTCAAGTTGTTCCAAACCTGTATGAATGTCTTTCTTCTGCTGCAAAAGAAGATTTAGTGAAGGATGTTGGTAACCAGACGTGATGGTTGATGGTAGCCATTTACTTCCATGGTATTTTTGTCCTATTATGGAAATCAATGGCCACCATTTCTGGTTACCAACATTCTTTAAAAATATCTTATTTTGTGTTCAACAGAAGAAAGAAACTCATACAGGGTTGGAACAACTTGAGGATGAGTAAATGATGACAGAATTTTCATTCGCTTTATTCACCTGGCTGCCATTTTGAAAACTCGAACGCGTTGAGGGGTACACAAACCCGGAAGTTTGACTCCGACGCAGCAGCACCAGCAATGGAAACTCCAGTGTGGACCACCAATCTTTCCTGTCTCCCCGAATTAACGATGCAAAATGTGAAGCAGCGAGCCAGTACTGACTGCAACATCCCCCGGGCTGTGTTAATTAAGGGATACAGTAACTGGATCGAAGGTTTTATCCACGACATTGAACGTATGAATGGACGCCGATTTACCTCCGTTTCTACTAGCCTGTAGCAGCTAGGGGTAGTAAGCTCAGCTGTGATATGGAGTTGTTGACTGTGTACTATGTTAGATTAGATCTATACAAATCCTTAACCATCGTTATTGTTCTTCTTTATGAATCTATACTAATCCTTAACCATCATTATTGTTCTTCTTTATGAATCTATACAAATATGTGAACTTGTATTGTTACCATAGCACCTTATCATGGTCAGTGTGTAACAGGATCAGTCCCTGTCAGACCTTATAATCACTTCTCATGCTCTTTACTTTTACATACCTGTGAGTGATTTGATTGTTTTACGTGTATGTGTGTGTAAGCTACTGGATGTGTATCCATCTGTGTATCTATCTAAAGAATAAAGTACAATTGTATTACACATGGATGATGTCCTTTATAACTTTATAATTTAATATACCGGAACCAGAACAGGTCAGAATATCAGAAAACATTAAAAAAAACATTGATAGGCACACTGGTCTAGGTTTGTAAAGGTAACTTTGTACATAGAAGTTGATACGGGGGAATAATGTAAAATGGCCTGCCTGTATACTGTAAGCATGGAAAAAGAACCAGAACATCAGAAAACAGGCCGTTCAAAAAGCAATCATAGGCACAATAGTCTAGGTTTGTAAAGGTAACTATGTACATAGAAGTATGGAAAAGGAACCGGAACAGGTCAGAACATTAGAAATTACATTAGGAACAAACCATTTAAAAACATTAACAAAAGAGAACTATATACATAAACAGATTATCAGTGATGTCTTGCTCGTTGTTGGGGGGACAGATGTGTAGCCCATCTTGACAAAGTGAGTGAGAGTGTAGAGCAGCCCGATGAGATGGTTGCACTGTCCCAAGCCAGCTTTGCAGTTGCACTGCGTCTCCCTTATAAATGGCTGCTCAAGTGACAGCTCCACCTGAAAAGATAATCAAACTTTAGACACTTGACACTTCCGAGTTGCTATTAACAAATATATGGCATATATATATATATATATATATATATATATATATGTGTGTATGTGTGTGTGTGTGTGTGTGTGTATGTATATATATAAAAATATAAATATATGTATATGTGTGTGTGTGTATATATATATATATACTCACCGGCCACTTTATTAGGTACACCTGTCCAA